ATTGCTGCATTGAAGAAATCATCAAGAAATCGTTTGAGTGGTTATAATCACTTCCTGTATCCAAATGGAGATGAGAAATATCACCATAAGCTCCTGGTACGAGATATCTTGTACATGTGGAGATTATGATGATGTTTCGGTGATTATCGACTGACCTGATAAGTCAACTAACTTTCCCTTGGTCCAAAGGGACTACATTTTAGATCACTTGGTAAAATTACTCATTCTTGAATTTATCGGGTTTTCTGGTGTTTTGATCAGCGTATATTCTGAATATGATTTCATAATCACCTTTTTGTGTCAGAAGGCATTCCATTCAAGCTTGGGTACAAGTCTACCCTACTGCACTTCGTATTATTTCTGATGCAGATAAACTATCTAAAAGAACCACTGACGTTAAAATTTTAGTTATGACCATTAATCCTTGATTCACCCAACAAATACTCTGCTGGTGATTGAATATTCCGGAAGCTACCGTTGTAGCGACATGTTATGCATTCAATCCAGTTGTCTTATACTTTAAACTTAATGGACTTGTTTTGACTCTTAAATTCTTAAGTGTTCTTTTAGCTTTTTCGACATAATTGTTCGCTAAATTCGAGATAAATTCACTATGAACTACATGGTGTGCATATCACTACTGTATCTCACTGTGATGCGCGTTTCACTTCCAAGTTTTGGGAAGTTTTCTTGAAGGCTATGAGTACTAAGTTTTTGTCCAGTACAACATTTCACCCTCAAACTAACAGCCAGTTTGAACGAACCATCCAGACCTTAATGTACATGTTGTGTTTGTTTGTTTCGTAGTTTTAGCATGGTTATGATTGACACTTATCTTTGTTAGAGTTGTGTGTAACTGTAGTTACACTTTTGATTTGAGTATGACACCATTTGAGATGTGTATGGAGATTTTATGCATAGCACATGATTGATAGAGGAGTATTACAAATAGGTATTTGAATAATCAAGATTACAATTCAAAAAATTGTGTGCTATTTGTGTTGTCACCTGATAGGGTAGCACGTGAGCGTAGTCGATGCGCTAATTAGACGATTTATATGTATTTCCTAATGAGAGGCAAGATGGTAATATTGTACCCTCGTGAATTTTTTGCTTGCTTATCGAGACAACAATGAGTTGTCGATATCGCGGGCTGCAGACTGTAATATCGATAACTTATTTGTTATGTTCGTTAAGCAAGTGGACAAGTAGGTCCTTTTACGTTAGTATTTTTAGTTATTTATTTATTGTTTGGGCCTGACCCAAAGATACTACACTTATTCTCAAAGTACGTGACCCTACAAGTGTGTAGGTGAAATTTTTCTATGTTCAGTTTTGATTTCAATACCAACTATGTCTACGTTAATGTATATACGTATTTTGACGTTATGTTTTTATATAACTATTTTTGACCTTATGTTTTTATAACAGTATTACATTTTGGTATTATATTGAAGGATAATGAAAGTTTGAGTTTGGAGGCATGAAAGAGGAATCATTGCAATCCGATAGCGACAGAATGACATTCTCTTTGATGCAACCGCTCTAGCTTGATTTCTTCTATATATATATATATATATATTTTTTTTTTCTATCTTAATCTTTTATGTACAACAACTTATTTCAAATTTCGGGGACAAAATTTTTTTTAAGGTGGGCAGATTGTGACAACCTGTCCCTAATTTTATGATTTTATAAATTTTAAAAGTGTGAGTTGACCAAAATGCCCTTAGAAGAAAGATTGTGACTTTCTTTGATCGTCTCTTCGGGAAGTGTATGAGCTATTATTTTACCGTATTATTGAAGTACTCGACGGAAGGAATGCATAGGCGCAAGCGGAACTGAATTTGGAGTTACAACGAAAATTTTACAAATTACAGAGTGTGATGGGAGTTTTGGTAAATTCACGTTACATGAGATATTTTTCAGTTTCTTCATTGGTGACCTTAAGTTGTGTGCCAAAGGGGCCCACACCCCACTTTTTCCCCTCACTCCCCTGTTCCTTTCCAAATGCCCTCAGGGTCTCATTGGTTGCCACCTCACTTCTCTCCCTTTCTCTCTCTCCCGAAGAGCTCTCTCTCACCCGGAATTCTCCCATCCTTTGTGAAGCACAGCACCACCGTCACTTTTGCCAACTCCGGCGAGCATCACAACCCAAATCACCACCTCACACTGCTCCCTTTTCTCTCAAACACTCTTCTGCCCTCTTATCTCTCTTAGCTCACTCTCTCTCACCTCTAAATCTATCTTAGTTCTCTATCTCTCTTCTCCTCTTGGTGAAACCTAGAAATCAAGCCAACACCATCGTCGTTTCAACGAGCTTCAACCACAAAACAATGCACTACATTCTCTCCCTCGGATTTCTCACTCTCTAGATTCCGTGCACACTACACAGAAATGCAAAGGGCAACGCCGCCATATTTTCTGGCGAGTTCACAAACTTCCAACGAGAGTAAGCTTTGAGAATAACCTAAAAATTCTTGGATCATGTTTTAATATATGTTTCTAGCTTTCTTAAGGGTCTTGATGTGGGTTTTAGTACATAACCGTTGTAGGGAAAACATCCTAGATTTTTCGGCTACTTCGAGCCGTTTTCCGGCCAACTCCTGCCACGGTCGAGGAAACAAAGGTATATTTCGATTCCTTGCCCTCTGAGCTTCAATTTGATATATTGGAAGGCTAGGTTTAGTGAAGATTTCGTGTGGTTGGAGATGGGATTATTCCCGACGGTTGTAGCGGCAACCGGCCGGAGAAGAAGAAAAATAAAAAATAAAAAAAAGAGAGAGGAAGCCTAGATCCGAGACCCGAATTGGATCCGAACCTAGGATCTGGCCCAGCCCAATTCAATGTGGATCAGGAATATTCCTGGAATATGCTCTGAAATATTCCTTATGTTGACTTTTTTGAAAATCTTTCAAAAACCCTCCTAGACTAATTTCGACGCCCTGAGTTCGTTTTTGACATCCATTTAGTGAAATTTCAAAGTTTTAACATAGTTGACCACCTGGGCGTCTCGGTTGACTTTTCGTTGATATTTTATGAAAATTGCGCGGGATCCTTCTTAGCGTATTTCGACGTGCTGATTCCGAATCCGCCGTCCGTTTCTCCAAATTCAAATGTTTTAATTCTGTTTTACTAATGGACCCCAATATTATGCTTAGGTGCAATTACTACCGGAGACTCCGGCCTTCTTAGCTCGAACGGAGGTGACATTGTAAGTACCTATGAGTGAGTATTTTCTTTTATATAGTATATATATAATTGTTGGAAATTATAACACAAAGTGTAACGTTTATAAGATTTAGCGCTTTGATAGAAAATTATAACGTTATGCTACATCCTACGGGATACACATGTATGGCCGTGAATAATATTATGTTGACTAGAATTATCGAATCACTGTGGCATGACTATATTTATGTTATCTGCTCATCGTTTGTTGCACTGATGTTAGTACTCGCTCAGGCCAGGGCCAGTCTTTCACGTATATGTTCACATCGCACCGTACGCTCACTTTGGATCCATTATAAGTGCCAGTAATATCCTAGATTGTTATAGGCAATTAGGACTAGTATGTGACGCGCATAGCACCAGTCTTCACGTGATTATAGTACTAAATCATAAATCATTAATACACACAGGTCATGTTCATCTTAGAATACCTCTGCATGAACTCATGTGTCAGCATATATCGATGAGCACTCGATGTGATGTATTTATTTCTGCGAGATATTATGATTACTAGAAGTTATATGCTTATCAACGGAATTTGTGACGTATTGGAGTCTTGAGATATTGCAGGCTATGGTAAGTATTTTCATACTATACGTAGTATGTATATTTTGGAAACTATACTGATTTTATGGCGAGGGGTTATAATGTTTTCAAAAAGGTTTTTGTAAAGCTTTATTTTTTAGGCCTACTCACCCTTATTTTTCGCCCTTCCAGGTTTAGTAGCTATGCTTTCGTGTCGACGGGGATTCTTGGCAAATCTTGGTGTAGTTGGTTACCTTCCATGGTATAATTTTTATCCTACTATACTGTACTTTACTTATGCTCTGACATCACTTGTCAAATGAGTTCATTCCCACTCACCAGCACTCTTATATTTAGGCACTTTTAGGTTTAAATTTATTCACATTTTCCACATCACTACACTTTATGGCTTCGTCACCCTCTTGGTGTCGGCCAACACAGCTCGATTCGGAGTCCAGGTGAACATTTCAGGTCGGGGTTTGTCAACAACCATGTTTATATTAAATTTTAATCATCTTCAAGAATTAAAGTAAGTGGTAATTTATACTCAATATATTAATTTTCCACTTTTCTCAAGCAATAAAAAAACTTATGTATTACTTTCTTCCACTTCTCTTTAGTAATAAAAAAACTAAGTTGTGTATTACTTTCTTCCACAAACACAAGCATATTTTTGTATCTATCTTTCAGTCGTGCTCCATTTTTTATTGATGAACCCTAAATTGTAATTTCATGGCAATAGGAGATTATTCAATTAGTAAGAGTGAGATGTTGATTTCAATTAAAGTTTGAATATTGATTTTTGAATTATGTATAAATATGTCGATTTTTTTTTTAATTTTATAAAGAGGGTTTTTTTTATTAAATTGCACACAAAGTCCTCAAAATGTCAGAGACGGTCATGTGCCTTCTAAAGCATTAATACAATAAACTCGTCCTACTCTCAACTTTTTCCCTTCACAAGTGTTCTAATAATATTGAGAACGAATTTGGTGATTGCTACAGAAAATAATGAAGAGACAGAATTAAGTGGTTGGGTCGATGAGTGTACAAGGTCAAAAGGGATTTCAAAAAGGCAATCATTTTCCCTATCTTTTCTGACACATCAATCATGTACGTATATATAATATTTAGGAAATATAAATAAAATGAATACAACAAAATAATGAACTTGAATTTCATCGCACAGGAGCTGCAGCCGTCTAAATATGTGTATATATGCAGGTTCTTTGTTATGAAATTCAAGTGTGAAACAAAGGATGGCTTCAGAAATGAAGGTTGAAGTCCTTCACAAAGAAATAATTAAACCATGCGCGCCCACGCGCTGCTGCGGGGCTCAGAGTGCCAACATGCTGGCCTATATCTTGCTTATTATTTATTTTTTTCATCTTGGACGTATGTTTAAGCCTACCATCGGAAGCAAAGATGTTACGGCGCCTAAGGCCAACAACTTTTGGCCATTGGCCAATGATTGGGGTTGATTATCACCAAAACCCTTCTAGTAATTGTTGATGTATACAATAAGCTGAATAAAATAAATAACTTTGATTTCATCCCACAGGTACTGACTTTTTGTGTTGAATTATATAAGGAGGACCTGTGTTATGCAACTCCAGTGTAGAGCAAAAGATGGCTTCAGAGATCAAGGTTGAAATCCTCCACAAGGAAACAATTAAGCCTTCCTCTCCAACTCCTCACCACCTTAAAACTTCCAGCCTCTCTGGTTATGATCAGCTTACTCCTGAAATTTATGTCCCACTAATTCTCTTCTATCCCAACGGCGGTGATGAGGCCAGTATCGATCACCATGCTTTGTTTGCTGATAGATTCGGCCTTCTAAAAAGATCGTTATCTGAAGCCCTCACTCACTTCTACCCCTTTGCAGGAGAATTCATATTTAATGTTTCGATCAGCTGCAGTGACCATGGGGCTGGATTGATTGAAGCCCAAGTCAACTGTCCCATATCGAAGATTTTGGACAAACCTGATTTCCAGATCTTAGGACAGTTGATTCCAACTTCAATAGATTCCAAACAAGCAGAGACAGGCCATCTTCTTCTAGTGCAGGTCAGCTCATTTAAATGTGGTGGATTGGCAATTGGGATTAGTATTTCACATAAGGTCGCTGATGCTTCTACACTCAGCGCATTCATCAAAAGCTGGACCGCAATTGCCCTTGGCTCGGCAGGTGCTACTGACCATGCAGTGCCTTCTCCAGAATTTGGCATTGCAGCTACTATCTTCCCACCGCAAGATATCTTCAATTCGCAGCAAGGAACCATGGAATTTCCTCAAGAAAAGGGTATAGGAAAAAGATTTGTGTTCGATGCGTCAAAGATTGCTGCCCTCAAGTCCAAAGCTGCCGGTGCAACCGTGCCAAATCCTACGCGAGTTGAAGTTGTGTCAGCGCTCATTTGGAAATGCGCAATGGAAGCTTCAAGATCAAACTTGGGTTTTACAAAACCATCTGTGTGGTCTCAAGTGGTGAACATGAGAAAAAGATCAGGGAAAAGCTTGGTGGAAAACATATTGGGGAACTTTTTGTCGTACTTTGCAGCAATGAGTACGGAGAGTGAGGTGGATCTGGAAAGATTGGTTGCAAAATTCAGGAAAGGCATCGAGGAACATAAAGAAAAGTATCCTAACAATGTTGGTTGTGAGGATGCACTTCAAAGTCTCAAAGAGTACGGGAATATCCTGATAAATGACAGTATAGTGATCTATAGTTGTAGCAGTTGGTGCAAGTTTCCCTTCTATGAAACAAATTTTGGATGGGGGCAGCCGTCATGGGTGAGTACTCGTAGTAGTGAATTCAAGAATACGATTATATTGATGGACTCAAGTGATGGTTTTGGCGTGGAAGCGTTGTTGACTTTCCCTGAAGAAGACATGGCCATAATTGAAAGACATGAAGACCTGCTTGCATATGCTTCTGTGAATCCGCCTGTCATTTAATTAACATCCTCTTGCGGTTCTTAGATGGATGTGATTGTATAGGTTTAAATTGTTTTTTCGATGCTTCTACTGTCTGCGTTTTCATTACTTTTTGCTCCTTAATGGTCTGTACTGTATCTTCAATAAAATTGATATGTTTTCAGCTTTATATTAGAACAATTAATGAATGAAGGAGATATGTTTCACCCTGTGTGTATTTCAATTATTATCTAATACATGAACCGTGATCTTCCAAGATGGCAATGGCATACCAGCTCAGTTGGCTTCAAAAGAAGTCACGGGCCATAGCTAAAAGCAGTCAGGAGCCGCTTGCTTGCAGATGCTTCTCTATATGACTAATTAATTAGTATCCTCTTGTCTCTTTCAATTATTGGGGTGATGTCGTTCTCTTTGTGGAGTGGTTAACATTGTGTTGCTTTTAGTCATTGACTTTTCTTAATAAAAGACCGGATTTGTTTTTTAATTATTATGCATACATAGTAGAGTTTGGCACCACGCGTAGCATCGCTATATGTTCAAACATGTCTAGCACTACTACAATATTAGCTTTAGGTGTCAGATGTTGGTGACGGTTTAATAAGCCATTATGTTGAATAAAAGATATACAATACATCATTCAGTTAGTGTCGGATAACAATAAAATGATGTCGGTTATATCCGATATAAATTTCTATGGATATATTTTTAAATATTTTTAATATATTTCTGCCTTTTTAAGTTAATGGTGACAGTTATAACCGACAGAAAGTGACTATTTTATTATTTTAAGATGTTATATTGACTAAAAAAAGATAAATAAACACATGGTTTAAATATATTTTTTTCACTCATGACTTTGTCAGATATAACCGACACGAACAAAGCAAAATTTTGGACGGCCGTTAGAATAATCTTTGAATGTTTTTTTTTTCCACTCATGGTCCTGTTACCTAATCTTTGAATTTTTAATTTTTTTTTTTTTTGCGATTTTTTACACATGCTATCTCGGAGTATATACAAACATATTTAACGGTTGGATCATTGAAACTAGTTTCGTAGAATGCATATCTTATCAAATTGATAGATTTAACAAACACTTAAGAGTTAATGTTATACTTCCATTAAGTATAAAATAAGATTTATCCACTAATGTAAATATTTTAAATTGAAGATCGAATTCATTCATTGCATTCTTATAGGATCGAGGAGTGTAGCTGCAAAAAATCATCAAAATCAGAGCTAAAATAACCGTTAAATTATGATTTTTCATTTATAATCATTGAAAACTTTTGTTCAATTACCTAATTTATGAATGTTTGTTTTTTGCGATTTTTTACGTATGCGATTTTGGAATGTGTACAAACAAGTTTGACGGTTGAATCGTAGAAAAACTTTTCGTAGAATGCATATCGCATCAAAACGGTAAATTAAACCAACACTTAGAGTTAATGTTATACTTCCCCATCAAGTATAAAATAAGATTTTGTGGTATCCAGTGTAAATATTTTAAATTGAAAATCTAATTTGTTCAATGCATTCTTATATAGTCAAGGAGTGTAGCTGTAAAAAAATCATCAAAATCGGAGCTAAAATAACCGTTAAATTGTGATTTTTCGTTTATAACCGTCGAAAACTTTTGTTTTGTTACCTTATCTCTGAATGTTTGTTTATTGTGATTTTTTACGTATGTGATCTCGGAGTGTGTACAAACAAGTTTGACGGTTAGAGATCATTGAAAAAAGTTTCGTAGAATATGTATCGCATCAAAACAGTAGATTAAATAAACACTTAAGAGTTAATGTTATACTTCCATTAAGTATAAAATAAGATTTTGTAGTATCCACTAGTGTAAATATTTTAAATTGAAGATCAAATTTATTCATTGCATTCTTATAGGGTCAAGGAGTGTAGCGGTAAAAAATCATTAAAATTGGAGCTAAAATAACCGTTAAATTGTGATTTTTCGTTTATAACCGTCGAAAACTTTTGTTTCATTACGTAATCTCTGAATATTTATTTTTACGATTTTTTATGTATGCAATCTTGGAGTGTGTACAAATAAGTTTGACGGTTTGATCGTTGAAAAAAGTTTTGTAGAATACATATCGCGTCAAAATGGTAGATTAAACAAACACTTAGAGTTAATATTATACTTCCATTAAGTATAAAATAAGATTTTGTGTTATCCACTAGTGTAAATATTTTAAATTGAATATCGAATTTGTTCATTGCATACTTATAGGGTCGAGGAGTGTAACTGTAAAAAATCATCAAAACTGGAGCTAAAATAACCGTTAAATTGTGATTTTTCGCTTATAACCGTTAAAAACTTTTGTTCCGTTACCTAATCTCTTAATGTTTTTTTTTTGTGATTTTTTACGTATGCGATCTTGTAGTATCTACAAACAAGTTTGACAGTTAGATCATTGAAACTAGTTTCGTATAATGCATATCTCCGTTAAATTTGCCTAAATTTGAAGTAAGAAAATTAATTTGTGCTAAATTTTTATTTATGTTTTTCAAGTATTGATTAGACAATATTTAATTTGTGCTAAATTTTTATTTTGTTTCTTTATTTCATATTTTACATGGGTTATTATCTATTAAACCAAACAATTATTTATTTAATTTAAAAAAAAACTTATTCCATTTAAATGCATACTATTTATTTATTTATTAAACCAAACAATTATTATTTTATTTTTTAAAATTGTAACAAAATTTTTGGGTGGAATTTAGAATTTTGGGATGGAATTTTGGGGGGATTTTTGCCACCATTTTTTTTTGTCGATTATAACCTACAGTAATGAAAATTTTCCAACATAAAACCCCTCTATCTCTTCCTTGCGCTGATGCCTTCTCCCTTCCCCCTTTTCTCCTCTCCACATTTCCTTCTCTTCTCTTCTCTCTTATGGTTCTCCTTCGCTTGACATCTCCATGCTTCTTCTCTCTCCCTTCTCTCTTTTTCCATTTTTTCAATCACTTCCAAATACTTCTTATTAAGATTCTCTTGGTGATCCACAACCTGCTTCACCAAGTTCTCAAAAAACCTAGTCATTGAACTTAATTGCACCTTCATTTTCCTCTTCCTCTTCTAAATCTTCCTCATCAGCACCTCTTCTCCATGGAGTCTTCGGATCTGTTATCCACCCTAAATGTATCAGCTAGAGCATCTGCTTATGTCAGCCAACATGATTGGCATGCGATAGAGATGACTGTAAGGGAAACTCTTGAGTTTGTAGGACGATATCAAGGTGTTGGATTTAAATATGGTAAGCTTTACATAGTCACGTCTTTTGGTATGAATCGTGCTTGTTTATAAGCTATTAGAATCACCAAAATACATAGGAAATCCTACATTTTTTCAGGCAGTTTTCGCCAGTGAGAGCAGAGCCATAGCCAGTTTGATTCTGATTACCCTCCCCCATCTTTGCAAGGTTATAGATTGCTTCAAGCTCACCATAGAGCCTGTGTTTTTCCTCCAAGTCTCCGCATTTCTCCCCTTCTTCCTGCCTCTGCCTATTGTTAGTTGTGTCGAGGACTACCGCGTCAAGAGGCTTCCAACTGCTGCATTAACACAAACAAGTGGGGGTAAAAACAAGGTCAGCATGAAAACCAGAGAGAACACAGAACAAGTACAACAAAAAAGCACGTAAATTGCTGCAATATCAACAAAAAGTGGTTGTTTATATTTTTATTATTAGTATTATATTTTATGTCAGTTTTATCCGACAATAGTGTTTTTATTTATTCTTATTAATAAATTCTCTGTCGATTATATCTGACAGAAGTTCTATCGGTTTTAGCCGACAGAAATGCTCTTATTTATTCATTATTAATATATTCTCTGTTGGTTATATCCGACACAATTTCTGTCAGTTTTAGAGTGTTTTATGTTGAAAATTCATTTCCTGATGTTGGCAATTATGTTGCTTATTATATTTGCCACTGTATCCATTTTCTGTCGGATTTTGCTTAAAATTTGACAGTAATATACGTTTCTTGTCGGTTATCACAGCGACACTAATAAATGGTTTTGCAATAATGTAGCGTCGTAAACACTAGCTAACTTGTTAGCACTTGAGCGCTCTTGGTAAATACTAAAGAGAGTCTATACATATTTTATGATCAGTTCATAAGTGTTTACATGATCTAGTAAGGCATCATCTACCTAGAGCTAAGAGCTAGATAATAGCTAGTTGTAATATTGTTATAAGTTTGTTACAACTGTCCATGTAACTAATCCTAGTTTAGTTAGTAAACTAAGCTTAATTAGTCACTAAGGTTCATCCCAAGGTTTGGGCTACGTCCACACTAATTATGTATTTATTTGAGGGAGAGAAAGCTCTGAGAGTGAGAGCTTTGAGAGGGGGTGAGAGGGCCTAGGAATTGGCCTCTGAGGGTGAGAATATGGCTCCTCCCAATTGTGAGGGTGAGGGATCCTTTTATAGAATAAGGGCTCCTCACTTATTACATATTTACCCCTTCCCTTAGTACATAAATACATTTGAGTCCCCCGAGTATTTGTACGAGATCTAAATACGAAGGCCCTAAGTATGGTATAAACATATAGTATAAAAATGCTTACCATAACCAGCAATATTTCAAGGATACCATACGTCACAAATTTCGTAAATAAGTACATGATGTTCATAATCACATATTTTCGCCTAAATAAACATATCACATCGAATGCTCAACAAATGCTAACACACAAGTTCATGAAGAGGTATTCTGACATGAACAGGACTAGGTGTAATAATGATATACGCTCTAGTACTACAATCATGTGAAGACTGGCGCTATACGCAGCACATACGAGTCGGAGTTGCCTATTGCAACCTGTACGACAGGACTGGCACCTAAAATGGATCCAAAGTGAGTGTACGGTGCAATGTGTACATACTCATGAAAGCCTGGCCCTGAACTAGACGAGTACTAACATCGGTGCAGCAATGATGAGCAAATAACTTGAATATAATCATGCCACAGTAATTCAACAATTCTAGTCAATATAATTCTATTCATGACCATAGATATAATTAAGGCATCCCCTTTAAAGTAAGCTTACCTATGCATCCCGTAGAATTATTTCATCATTTCCCAACAATAAAACATTTCTTAGGAACCTTAATTTAATTGTGACAATCACGTAGGAAATTCATTAAGAAATGGATATATGGAAACTAACCAATATACATATCAA